AGCCACGTTTCGGGGCAAACTCAGAAGTGTTCCCTGGGCCTAAGTTCGCCCTGCTGAACCCGCGGCTCAGGCCGCCGCCGTGGGCCGGGCTCAGCGCGGGAGCTACCCCCAGCACCCCACGACCCGAGCCCCAGCGGGGCGCCCGTCCCTCTCGGAGGCTCAGCGCCCCTTCCTCTTTCCGCTGGGCACGGCGGGGGTGGGGGCAGCTGGGCGCGGCGGCTCTCCTCAAGGGCTTCACGCGAAATCTGCGGGGCCCTTGGGGGCGAGCACCCTGTCGGGATCCTTCCCCGGCGGTCACTGTTTCGCCGCCTGGCTTCCGGCTTCAGCGCCCACTGCTCGGCCCTGGTGTCCAGGGGCCTCGGGGACCCCCGGGGATCATGGCTTCGCCCCGTTCTCCCAGTGCTGGTGCCCACCTGCCTTCCGCCAACTATTTCAGCAGCCCGGGGAGTGACCCTGAGGCCTGGGATTTCGCCAGAGGCGGCCCAGAGTGACCGGTCACCGTCTGGCTCCTTTCCTACACATCAGCTCTGCGTGGAGAGCGTTCTGCAGGCCCCCAGTTACCCCATGGGGTACGGCACCCCTCTTCTTGCTGACCCTCAGAGGACTGGCCTCCGTGAGCCCACTGGGGGGTCCTCGTGTCCTCGGGACTTTTATGACTTTTATGGACCGGCCTTCCGTCCACACACACGTCTCCCTGGGCCGGCCCCAGTGCCACCTTGTGGGGCCCTCATTCTTGACGGGCTTTGCTCTGGGGCACAAGACGCCCGGCGGGTCACACCCTTCCTCCGGTGTCCAAAGTGCTGCAAGGGCAGGAGCCTGGGGGAGCCCGCAGGGCAGGGACAGAGGGGGGCCCCGCTGCAGATGGGGCGCCGGGATAAGCCGGGCACGGAGGCCGCTGAGGCGAGGCTGCCGCCGAGGCCACCCCCGAGGCAGACAGCCGGGCCGAGGCGAGACGCTCGGGCGCACACACAGCGCCAGCCCAGACCGGGGTGCAGACAGGCAGACGCAGACACAGCTGGACCGGCGGGGCCTGAGTCAGGCAGACACAGCGAGGCCACCCAGACAGACGGCAGGCGCGGACCCGCTCCCGGGCGCCCGGCTGGGCAGCTCCCGCCCAGCTCCGCC